TGCAAGTTATTTGGGAGTGCGAAAAGTGACCTAGACATTTTTTGTGAGATGCACCATGATAGTGGATTTGCTTTGTTCCGGGTTTACAATCCTGTTGAAGGCTCACCTGCTCGGGCGTTCTCATTGAGACGAGAGTAAGCAGAGATATCAAGGCGGGGAATGCATCTCTCGATGGTCAACCAAGTGTATGTTTCAGGGCACAGGAGGTCTGAAGGCCGGTACTGACCCTACGAATGCAAAAACAAGAAGTAGTAGTACTTGGTCAGTGCATTGCTATGTCAAATTCTGTAGATTTTCTGCAAAACCAGGAGAAAAAAAGAGGGGAAAAGCAGATGGCCTCTTGGGCCTTGAGTTGCATGTCTTTTAGGGGGCTGCTGATAGTCATACAGAGCCAAACAAATACACACGCACCATTGTGACCGCAGTGTAAACAAGCAAACGCCTCAGCGCAGTTCTCTGCATCGCTTCAAACGCGGCTGAGCCATTTCTGGCCAAGGCAAAAGTTCAGTGTCACGCTGTACGCAAAAGCCCACTCAGATTATGTGGGTTTAGTTCAACGAGAAGCAGCCTTGTTAAAGTCCCACCATTACTGGCAGGATCCGTCTGTCATTATCCTGCAGTGGAAACTATGTGTCCTGGTTTTACAAGACAGACAACATGGGAGCGAGGGACCCTGTGGAACATATAAATAAAAGGCATTTTGTGGGGCGGTGATATGTTGGGTGAGCAGTGAGTAGGCCTGTCACGATAACAACTTTTTGTTGTGTGATATATTTAAAGACCATTTTATGCCACTGAATATATAATCATAATATAACAGCATAATAATGCAAGAAGGCCTACACATTTCCAAATGACAACAAACTTTTAATTTGTAAGAATATTTAGATCATGGAAATTAAGGGCCCTATTTTAATTATCTAAGCGCATGGTCTAAAGCACACGGCGCAGGTGCACTCAGGGTGTGTCCGAATCCACTTTTGCTAGTTTAATGACGGGAAAACAGTCGGTGCGCCCAGGCGCATGATCTAAACGGGTTGTCCCTATTCTCTGCGCATGGCACGGTGCAAGTGCACTCAGGGCGTGTCCGAATCCACTTTTGCTTAACGACGGGAAAACGGTCGGCGCGCCTGGGCTCATGGTCTAAACGGTTTTTTTTGGGCGTAACGTGCAATAAACCAATCAGAGTCTCATCTCCCATCCCCTTTAAAAGCCAGTTGCGCTCGCGTCATGGCGGGTTCGCTATTTACATGGCGGAATGTAATTTTTCATGTTTAAAAATTTTTGTGTGCTGCTGCGGGTCCTTGTGTGTAATAAGCAAAGTGTACGCACATTGTGCACCCGCCTATAGGCGCATAGTATGCGCCAGACTTTAGACCAGGTTTGATTTGGTCTATGGCGCAGTCTATTTTCAGTTCCTCTAAATAGCAACGCGCCAACAATGCGCCTGAACACACCTCTTTTTTAGACCAGCACGCCCATGGGTGCACAAATGGGTGCAAATGCATTTGCTATTTAAACAATGTAGCGCAGGACTTGAAAATGATAACTGCATCTGGCTGAAACTAGCAAAAAACACTTGCGTCGTGCCTGGCGCCGCATTGCGCCGGGTGTATGATAGGGCCCAGTGATTGGAAGCGCTTCTTCCCACCTTTTATAGCAATCAGTCTGCTCTTACAATCTAATTAGTATGATAGTGATTTACAAAAGTCACAGATCCCTAAACAAGACCATATCTGCAGATGAAACTTGTTCTTTTTTTGTAGAAGCATTTTTTAAATTTGAACGAGCACATCATGACTACACCACGTTATGTACGAGAAGCTGCAAAAGACACAGGTGCAAGTGAAAAGTACAAAACATGGTGACATTAATTTCTAAGGAAATATAATGGGCGATATATTGCGTCACCAAAAATTATTGAGGTCATGTACATATACTGCGCGATAAGTCGATATATTGATTATTGCGACAGGCCTAGCAGTGAGGGGAAAGGTTTTCACACCCGTGTTCATCAGCGGACTATACAGAGAACCCTAAAGAGTGAGTTGACTTATTCAGAGCGGGCTGATGACAAGCAAGCAAGGGTCACTGGATTTGAAGCAATGCAAGAGAATTAGTTTGAATTTTAGAGTCTGCAGACCGATGTGTGCAAAATTAAAGAAAAGAGAATAAAGCAAGCTCCAATAATGCACAATACAAACATGCATACTTTAAAACAGCATGGAATTTTAACACACACAAAAAAGTAATTCTACACGAGTACAAAATGAAAAACAGGATTTTTTTAGCTGTTTGGAAATAAAAGAGAGAGTTGTGCAGGTATGTGGAGGTTAGTCAATCATAAAGCTCTTTTATAGAAAATTCTTAAAGGTACAGTAGCAAAAACAGTGTAAGTGTTGTAAGGGTCAAAGAGTGGGTGGATAATGGTAATGCAATGCTAAATCACAACTGTTCTGGTGCGAGAAACCTTGACTAACGTTACAATGGACTTCAGGGGAAAGGAATAAAATGCTACAAAAGTGCATAATATGACCCCTTTAAAGTGAAGGATGTGCTACAGATATTGGGATATGCTCAAGTTGAACGTCACACTCCACAGCCCTTAAATGTGCAGCTTGCTATCATGCTCTGGAAAGGAATCTTGGCTGCTGGTACATGCAAGAGCCTGTAAAGAGATTTTGCAAAGATGCAACTTCCATTATTGGGGAAACCAGGAAGTAACCAGAACAAACAGATGATACATTCAACAAGCCAAACTAAAAACAAGAGAAACAGTCCAAAAAGTGTTGTTGTTTTTTTGTTCTTGATCATTAGCCAATTAAATAAAAGAAAGAAAGAAAGAATTTTTTTTTTTAATTGAAAAATAAAATGAAACAAAACTAAATAAAATAAAAACTAAATAAATGAAATAATAATGAAAAAACATCTTATTAATAAAATGGTATACATATATAAATATATCAAATGTAAATATAAAATAAAATGGAAAATAAAAAATATTAAAACAATTATTTATTTATATATTAATAAACCAGATTGCAGGATAAAATAATATTATATATTAGATATTTTATTATATAACACATAAATATATAATAATAAAATAAAAATCTCCATAGCAGACTTAATTGCAGATTTTATTACTGGTCAAATTATTATAGTTAATAATAAAACAGTCGTTGGTTATAGAGCTATTGGTCATTGCTGGTGAACTGTTCTAAAATCTAAAATATGATGAATTCAGATTAAGGAATTACTCATTTATTTAACCTGTAATAAATTCTGCAAATAGAAACAGTTGTAAATGAACTACTAACGCCCAACTGCAAGGGAACACAGATGCAGAGGGTGGGAGAATAAGGGGCTGATGTCAGTAACTGCCCTCTGGACACGCAATGAGGGACTCGCTGCCTGTTCCAACAGGTCTGAGCCACTGTGAAACAAACCTTTTCTGGGAATACCATTGAGGGAAATGATTCTCGGACACTTTTGACAAACGTACTACTAGAATAGTAGGAGCAGATAAACATCACTTATTTTCTACCGGATAGCCAAAGTTTGTTAGCATACGGATGCTGGTATGACTGAATGATTCCAGTTCCTTGATTTACTTTAGGAAACAACAAAAACATTTCCCTAATCTCTGTTCTAAATGTGTTTTAATGCAATTCTAAATGCAACTCAGCATGAACATATCTTGGTTCATTTTGACCCCATTTGTGAATCTTTTTGACTAATTCATTAATAGAATCACCTCATAAGAATCACCGTAGACTTAGTTAGGCTACACTGCTCAAGACATATGCTTGTTTTTGAGTTCAGCTAGTAAAGACAATAGAGACACGTAACACGCAATAGAAAAACGTGTCTTGGCTTTGTTTCTCGATACCTCATCATAATTCAGACTGCAAGCTCACATTTGCCGTAGAAACGTGGTGCAGGAAACACTGTAGTTAGCACATACTTACAGAAGCCTGTGATCTCGGGGGAGTCAGAGCGGTTCACGCAGAAGACACTTGGATAAAGGTTGTCAAAGAGTTAAGACGAGAGAGAGAGAGATGGAGTCTGGCTTCCCTGACGGCTCTGTTGGCCACACGTCTCGAGACTGAGCTCACCGCCGCAAAGGCCTTCTCTCCTCATAGCCTGTCCCCAAATCGCTCTCTAAGATTCAGTGTTTGCACGCAAATGCTTGATCTAAAGATCACCATTTCAAACAACACACCAAAGTTTAACCATCTCCTTGCTTTTAAAATTATGCATAGGATTTTTCAGAAATGAAATGATTGTGTGTCCGATTTCAAGTTCTAGTTCCTTAATGGTTCTGCAGGTTTGCATTTCATGTGTCTAGCAACTTTCTTTGAGATCTCCATTAAAGGAGAAGCTCATAAATGAAAAGATTTAGTCACGAGATTCTGTCACTCTTTTCCTTACTATTACAATGAATGAGAACCGGAGCAATAAAACTTCAGTAATGCAAAAATAGTTCACATGACTCATCAACATGCCAATGGGAACTAGGGTGGATGTCAGTGCACAGCACGTTTATGATGCTTTTATGGTGCTTATTTCTTAAAGGGATAGTTCTCCCAAAAATACACGAAACGATCGTTCTGTGCAAGAAACTTAATAGTATTTATATCGTTTTTTACCTCTGATTTTCACCGCAATGTCCGAACTGTCCAGAGCGCGTTCAACAGCCGGCGCCTGATGCGTCTTCTTCTTCTTCTTGCTTTACGGCAGATCGCAGACTTATAAGTGCATTACCGCCACCTATCTCTCAAATGGACCAGTGACACTCCTAACTGAGATTGTAGATAGTCTCAATGGTCCATTTGAGAGATAGGTGGCGGTAATGCACTTATAAGTCTGCGATCTGCCGTAAAGCAAGAAGGAGACGACGCCTCACGTGCCGGCTGTTAAACGCGCTCTGGACAGTTCGGACATTGCGGTGAAAATCAGAGATAAAAAAACGATATAAATACTATTAAGTTTCTTGCACAGACCGATTGTTGTGTGTCTTTACACATCAATGTATCGTTACGAGCCGCAGGGTTTAATTTGGTTTTGTTTGTGTATGTTTTATGACTCTCAAAGCCGTGATTCCCATCCACTTACATTATAAGACTGAAAGACTGCAACAATTTGAGTTAAAAATCTTCGTTTGTGTTCTACTGAAGAAACAAAGTCACCTACATCTTGGATGCCCTGGGGGTAAGCAGATAAA